TAGAGGGAAGGCAACTAGCCATCACCACCCACCGCCAACTCTTGGGCTATTCTTTTACCAACGAATAGTGGGATTGACCGTCACATTATAATGCCCCCACGGCTGAAAGGGCGAGCATGTTTGGTAGGACGGGGATTCGAACCCGCGACCCTCAGATTGCGAGTCGAGCGCCTTATCCACCTGGGTAGCTTTGTGCTTAAATTCAAACAGTCAATCAAACAAACTGTTCAGTGACATTAAAAATGTTAAAATACAAAAACAAAACACCGTGCACTCACTGTTATGTTCATACCATTTCAATAAGTCTAAACCAGAACCTCATTGAACTTTTCTGGCAGAATTAGAAAAGATCCTTATTAAATCCTTAAAGTTTAAGGAACTATACATATATGTTTTTAAGCTATTTCCCTTATAAATTCACAAAACATATATTTGTGTTAAAAGTTTTGGTGAATTACAGTGGTTTCTGAAGTAAGTATAAAAATAATGATAATTTTTGAACTTACATTTGGAGGAGGTGTAAGATTATTAAATCTTTCCTGATGAGGGACTTCTTCACGCGAAACTGGTCTAGGGATCTGAGAGCTGCTCCAACAAGGATCAGACAATGCTGAAAGAGATTTTTTAAGTTAAACGTTTAGTTCAGCAGGAGATAACTGTCACGGGGGGGAGTATCACATCATTTTTATAAAGTGTAGTTAACAGAACTGTTCTGTATTTATGTACCAACAATTTCAAGTATCAATTACATAAGTGCAGTTAGCTCTCAGTAAGTTCTGTTTCTAGATACAACAATATTGTTGATATATTGTCATGCAAGTTTTACTTCTCTGTTTTTCTATATTCTCACTTACAATGCTAGAAACATCAACTTGAACTGAATATGTTAATGAAATCTGTTTTTTGGTCTGACTATAAAAGAGACCACCATTTTGGATTAGGTGAATTTCTAACCCTGTAAGATAAGTCACTTGTTTTTTTCTTAAGTCAGCACACTTAACCTTTATTTAAAAGTTAATTTAATGAGTTATGTTTAACTATATCTAATTTTTAGCTTCTCATTTTCAAACTTAATTTCTCTTTAACAATTAATTATCAAAATATTTAGAACAGAATTATATAAATTAACTCATTAGTAGCTTTGATTTACCATGTTTTGGGGAAGAAAAATTTAGCTGGACTTTAGTAGATTGATTATTTGTAGGAACACAGTCTACGACATCAAATGACATGTTGTTGTGAGATGTCTGGGACTTTTCAGTTGGATAACAAAGCCTAACTGTAGTTGGTAATGTTTTTGAGCTAAAAGGTACAGCATAATGAAGCTCTGATTCTTGCTGAAGCACCAAGTCTGAGTCTGTAGGGTCAACCTCTTGATTAAAGTTATTAATTTCACTATTTTGTTTCTTGTACGTGCAATAACCTTCGTGTTCACAGTTACTAATTATGGAATCTTGAACACTACATTGAGAACCTTGTGAATCAGGAACATGGCCTCGAAATTGCCATGGACTAGTGTAATGATTCCGTTGTCCAAAACCATTAATTAAAGATTTTTGCAGATCACAATAGTAGTCTTTCTTACATCCATTAGCCGTGATTAGTTCTTGATGAAGTTGCGCATCAGAATGATTGACCATCTTTGATTCTAAACCAACGTGGAAACCTCTTTGGTAACCAGGAGTTTTGTTCACAGAATCTACTCTGTAATCTATCTGGTGATTTTCATTGACACCTAATGGCCTGGAGTCAATTTGGGTATCTAGTTTCTCAGAATTCAAGGTATATGCTGTTTTGTTGGAATCTCTTTTGTCGGGTCCATTGATAACTTCTGTTGGGATACTTTTTTGGTCAAGACACTTCTCTGAATATGGACTGATGACCGAAGAACAGTTTCTTGGGCTCTGATAATGCCTAATGAAGTAACAATAAACTGTCATTCACATTTTACTAATGATTAAACAAGGTATTTCTCCAATGATCTACTTTAAGATTAGAAGAATTTTAAGTATCGTAAATTAATGCAGTTTTAAAAGCTATTGAATTGTTTTAAAGACTATGCAATTCTTAACAGCCAAGATCAAACAATGTATAAATATCAACAATGACACTGCTACAATATTTCTTAACAGCCTAGATCAAACAATGTATAAATATCAACAATGACACTGCTACAATATTTCTTAACAGCCTAGATTAAACAATGTATAAATATCAACAATGACACTGCTACATTATTAATCCAATATAAAAATATAGCTTCCAAAATATTCACAAATAATTAATTGTTACTTTCTATGCTGAACGCAAAAAGTTAAGATTTTTTTACAGTTTAAATTTGCCAGATAAGAGTTTTGATAAATTTTTAAACTTTCTCAATTATTTTACTGCATTTGCATTATGCCTTAAAGTCCCAAAAACTATATAAAATTACTATATCAAAAAGAATACTTATGATTTAAAAAATATTGTGCCACTAGAAACCATTATGAAATTTCATTATTCAAAGATCATTCCTTAAAAATAACTACATGCACTATTTGATGCACAGCCATTGTTACAAATCTTTCCAAGTGAGTTGGTATATTTGATAGTTTGTTTGTTTGTTATGAATTTCGTGCAAAGCTACACGAGGGCTATCTGCACTAGCCATCCCTAAGTTAGCAGAGTACGACAAGAGGGAAGGCAGCTAGTCATCACCACCAACCGTCAACTCTTGGGCTACTCTTTTACCAACGAATTGTGGGATTGACCATCACATTATAATGTCCCCACGGCTGAAAGGGCAAGCATGTTTGGTGTGATGGGGATTCGAACACGTGACCCGCAGATTGTGAATCGAGCCCCCTAACCACCTGGCCATTTGATAGAGAAAAACCAAAGTTTGAAACTTACTTAATTTGAACCACTTCTTCACCTTCTTGTTTTTCAGGAGAAGGGTTTCTTGTAAATTGAAAGAAATCATCATGATCTAGTTCTGACATGCACAAGTTTACAGAATCATAGGTACTTGAAGCCTCCTCATCACTGGTGCTGATATAAAGTGGTTCGAAATTGTCAAATCTCTGAATAAATACAATGAAATAAAACTTAATATATATATATTTTTTTCAAACTACTTCCAGGTATCAGTTCTTACCAGTCAAATCTGAAATAACTACCATTATGAACAATTCAAAATTATCATCAAACAATACTTAAACAATTATAATCTATATTAAATCTATCCCTTATCAAATCGTTCAGCATTACAATCTTATGTAATAGTTAAGCTACAAAGTTTGTTTCAGTGAAATAAAATAACTATTCTTATGGTGTAAATACATTTGCTGGTGAAGCATGATTATAATCAGGTATAGTATTAGGCTTATAAGCAAAAGTTCCCGTCCCCAGTGAGGGAAAAGTTTAAGTTAATCTATCAATTTAAATTATTTCTTGGACTTTAAAAAGGTTAATTGTGTCACACTCTTGGTTTCTCTCAAAGCCAAAGCTCTGAGCTACTTATACTGACCACCGAGAAAAGTAATTGTTGAGCATTTCAATCATGCTAAGAGCCACTCAACAATAACATACGGTAAATCTACATTTTCATTCTTTAAATTACGTCACATTTCAAAATGTGAATGATAGTGGAATTAATTCCTAACAATTTAGTGTAGAATATCCTGCTTGTGAAATAAAATTTGGCATCAACATTATTCATGATTGTTCTTCCATCATTTCAAAAGTGAATGTTGAGTTTGCCTGTGTGTACAGCTTTTCAAATGGAAGACAGACGAACACTCGGATAGACACCACGGTTCGAAATATTTATAAGATTGTATTTCTTAACACTACATTTTTTCATGTGGTCCCTTACATTTGTCTGAGAATGAGGGTGTATAATAGTATTTCAACTACACTGTGTGCACTATATCCATTGCTGACAACATGTTTTGCTCAATATCAAAGCTCATCAGACAATAAACACAACAATGGTCAGAACATTACTTATATAAGTCAGCCAGTTGTTAGAACGGAAATATTACTGTGTGAACACCTTTACTGATGAAGTGTGTTTAGAATTAATCATAACTGTCATAACACAACAGGATTAAGCTTATCTTAATTATGACAAATATAATTAAATAAATGTACATATGCATAAACAAAACCCACAAAAATGCTAAATTGGGTAACACTAAACAGCAACTCATTTGACAAAGGGGGTATTACAATTAGAAAAAGCAACAACATTAAGCTCTTAAAAGCTCATATAAGTAGAAGAAGAAATCCATATTGCAGAATCATATTAAAGGATATTACCTCGAATTACGACCTACCATTGAATGTAGCCTGTATAGGATATTAGTGAAGAAACTAATTAACTCATTAACTTTAAGTTAATGAGGCTTTGCATTACTTTTATTGAATAATCAAAAAGAACTTGTCCAGTGATAGAAAACATTACATAAAATAATTAATTCTTCATCATATACATGGTAAAAATAATTAAAGTTTAAAAACCGATGAACTGATGGACGTATGCATACAACTTTTTTTTTTTTTTATATATTTTAAAAATTGTTGCACGATACATGAAACGGAAATTGAGAAAGACATTATAGGTACTACAGCCGTAACACTTACACTTTAATGTGGTCACTCATCACAACTGAGCATCTTTCTTATCTTGTTCTGGAGACAGGACATATATCGAGGTAACAAGAAATAATTACAACAAAGAATTTTGAATTAACTATGATTATTCATTTGTTTGATGAATATTATTATGTGACCTTTATGTCAATACAAGTAACATTTGTATATCTTGAATGTATTTTGCTAAACAAAGAACTGATTTATGATATATATATATATATGGTATATGTAGCTGGTTCATTGAAGCTAGTTTAAGGTTAAAAGTTTATTACACTACATTTCTTGCTACAGTTCTGCTGTTCATCAGTGTATTATTTCTCACCTGACAAGGTGAATTTTGCCTCGATGATGGTGACGAAGTTCTCTCTTTTACTTCGAGAGATGATAAAGTTTGGTGTTTTTTGGCTTGAAGAGTTTTGAGTTCAGAAATTAACCGCTGCTCACGTAACAGCTGTTCCTGTTTTCTAGGTCCTTCTAACTTGAGAAGGTACTTATGCCACTGTTTCTGAAGCCACTTGTTGTCATTTGAAACTAAAATGTCTGAAATTACAACAATGTGATGGAAAAATTTCAACAAGATGAAATATAATAACACATATTTCAACACAGATGAAACGAACTAATGTTTAAATGTTATGGATAATCTCTGTTTTTAACAATATAACAGAAATTATGTATAATACTGAGTTTGGCAAAAAAGTGGGGTGGGGATGGGGATTTAGTATTACTATCATATAACTGATCAATACCCAAATCCCACATATGGTTATATGTATATCATTTATAATGATAGCTTATAGGATGAATAACTCATGTACATAAAACTGTACAAACTAAATTAAGGTTTGTGTTTATAAAAATTAAATACATGTCATGTATATACAGGGTTTCTCAAAAGTCTGCTGCCATTTTAACATTCAGAGCCAATATCTTAAAAATTGACCAAAAAAACTTTCCTGAAAGGCTATAGCATTCAACTTTTGGGGCACCTTGCATATTCATTAGCAGTGGTATAAATAAAATTACTGACCCATTTGCTGGAAGATTTTGGAATGAGTAGTTGGGTGAGCCCTCATGGATTCTTCTGGTGCTGTCATATGATTTGTCAGTATTTATACTTTCATCTAGTAGACTGTTGGCAGAACTTTGGGCTGAGCCCAAGAAGAGAGGTTCACAGGCACTTCTCAAGTATAGCTGGCCAGATACATGATCAAAAATTGCTGTTGGAGTATTTCTCAAAGTGCTATCTCCCTTTTCATTGTTTACTTTATCTTTTTCACTGAAAAAGTAACACTGGCTTGGCACTGCAGCTAGTGTGTTCTGTTTTTCTGTATAGGTAGTGCTATTTAGTGTGGAAGAAAACGAGGGGAAACTTTCAGATTGGGCACTTTTAGTAAGCTGTGGATCTGGTAAGGTTTCAGTTACTTGAATCAAATTTCTCATCAATTCATCGAGCTCAGCTTGCTGTGATTCAATAGTTGATTCATTTCTTTTTTGTTCTTTCTCAATTCTAGCATGTGGTCTGTGTTTTTTTGATCCTAATATAAAAGTATAAAATCTTTGTTAGGAATTTTGAAGATTTTTTCCCCATACGTTTATTCATCCTTGAACTATGACACCTTTAAATACCTTGCCGTATATTGTCCAAACAAAATAGCAACATTAAAACCCATAATTAATGTAATAATTATAACATCTTCGATTCTAAATTGTTCAATAAAATCCACAAACATTCAAATGAAGATACTGGAAACTTTAATGGTTTAACGCTGCCGAAAGGAATAATATTCAATTTAGTATAATGTAGAAATACTGTCAAATGAGTTAAAACGTTTTACAATTGCAATGTTGAAGAATCAACAGAATAACAAGACAACTGACACAAAATGATGTGGTAGCTGTTAAGTTCAACATTACTGGAGAAGTAGCATTGTAGTATTTTCAGATATTGCTGATTAGTCTTAACAGCAACGATATAAGTTGCTGAATAATGAGGGATTCTTCAAATAATATACTACAAAATAATTCTGTACTTTCAGACATAATTGAGATTGTGAGAATTAAAGAGAGACTGAACAAAAAGGCAAAATCACAATAAACAACCTTTATTCATACAAACACAGTGAAATTGTACTTTAGTTGCCACAGAGGGCAGTCACCTTTACTGGAAAGTTAAGTTTTAAGTCACTTGTTCCACGAAATAGTAGACTGAATACCTTAGCTGAAATCATAATGGTATACAAATCTAATTCTGTCGAGATGGGGTTCCAGAATGAATAAATCTCATGTTCCTTATTTAACTTATTAATGTTAGGCTTACCTAAGGTGACTAGTCCTACCCACGTGACTGATCATTTTCAATAAAACATAAGGGATGTCATAACTTCAAGAAATCACTGAAATACCAGTGGAAAAGACAACTGTCTAACTTCACATACGAAGACAAAAGGTGCTACTCTAGGTGAATGACACAGAACAATAGGTAGTAGAGCAAAAGGAACTTAATGACTTTCTTGACTAATGTGTTATGTGAAAATTTTACATTCTTGCACAAATAAAATAATCTGAACAATTCCTTTATTAAAAGAAGGCAGTAAAAACTACATGATATGCTTATATTGCACAGTATAAGGAAGATGATGAAGACACATAAATGAAGAGGTGAAACACCTTGAAGTAAAAATGAGCCTCTTCAATCACATATGCTTGTTTCCATTCAGCCTTGTGTTCCATAATAGTGGATCTTAACTTCATTTTTGAGACAGATTTGTTTCACAATGCATATCATCCACAGCTAACCTGCTTTGTGATATAGTTTTTGACTTGAACAAGCCTCTTCCACATACACGCACACAACTATATATAATATCTTGAATAAAGTTATTCAATTGACTATTTAGTTAATAGTTATATTATTAATAAATTAAGCATGTCTTTTAATATTTTGTTATTCTCATTTAATTACTCTTTTATTATTTAATACATTTGACAGTATGTATACTGTAACTTCTAACAATAAAGTAATGATGTAATACAGTACAAATAAAGAGCAAAAAAACAACAACTTTAGTTTTAAAAATTTTAACCAAAATCTATTTGTTAAATATTTCTAAAATAGTGAATATATAAAAAAATAATTAAGTTTTTGTGCATGAAACCAGAAAAAAAACTAATAGCAAAATCCATTTGAAAAACTACAATAAAAGGCCCCGGAAGCTGACTGAAATAATAGGATCCATCTTACCAGCAATGTTAAAAGAAGGTTGATTAGTAAGTTCATTAATCAAATCAGGTGACTGCGGCTGGCTTGCAACACTAAGTGAAGAATATCCATGAACACCCGATGCTGAAGAAATTCCAGAGTCTCGACTAGTGGCTCGAGATCCAACCTGCTCACCATATCCTTCACAATTAGCACTCACATGTGTCTGTGGAAAATCCTTGACAGTTGAATTTTTACTTATGGTTGTACAAAGACTGCCATCAAAAGGTTCTACAGTATTAGGTGCTGTCAAAATTAATAAGTGATTTTCAAAGTTAGTTAAAGAACAGCATTGTACATAATAGTTACGTTTATTTATTGCAATGTCTGCTGAATCAAATGTTTATTTAGGTTTCAAACTACAATTATTTAAGGGGTTTTAATGGAAGATCATTTACACAAAAGATATAAGTGTAAGGTTTGCTAAAGAAAAATATTATTAAATTTCATTACGAGAAATTTTATATAAATCTTTGAGGAATGGGTAAAATCAACAAGAAAAAGAGTTAAAAAAAATGAACAATATACAATTAAATAAATTAATTCCACCATTAAAAAATAAATAGAATTTTCCACAATATTGAGTACATTGGAGTAATTACTGTTTAGTTCATAAGTGTCACCAAAATCAGATCAAAGAATTGTAAAAAAGTTCTGGTCAGGTAATTCCATCAAAATGATGGTATTATCAGCATTAACTTTTGTACTTAAAAATCTCTTTATGCCTGATTTACAATTAGACATCTAAAAATTTAGTAGTGGCATTATAATACTATTGAATGCCAGCAAAATAGAGTTTTACTCTTGCTACCATACATGTTACATGTTACTTCTGTTTTAGTTTTACTCTTGTTACCATACATGTTACACATTACTTCTGATTTAGTTTTACTCTTGTTACCATACATGTTACTTCTGTTTTAGTTTTACTCTTGCTACCATACATGTTACATGTTACTTCTGTTTTAGTTTTACTCTTGTTACCATACATGTTACACGTTACTTCTGTTTTAGTTTTACTCTTGTTACCATACATGTTACACATTACTTCTGTTTTAGTTTTACTCTTGTTACCATACATGTTACACATTACTTCTGTTTTAGTTTTACTCTTGTTACCATACATGTTACACATTACTTCTGATTTAGTTTTACTCTTGCTACCATACACATTACATGTTACTTCTGTTTTAGTTTTACTCTTGCTACCATACATGTTACATGTTTGGTTATCAAGTCTAAGATTCATTTGGCTTCTAAAATAACTTCAGAGTTTATCTCAAAGTCAAGTGCTTGTATTCTATACAAAAAAAATTGGAATGATCTGTAATACTTCTTTGTTTGAAACAGAACTTTGAATACTCACACTCTGCTTTATTTGGAGATTCAATGATGAAATTTCCGTAAGAATCCCACCTGACATTGAAATCAGAATAATCTGTTGGAGCTACAGTACTGTGAACAGAATCATTCCCTGAAAAAAGTTGTTTTTCAAATTTGTCATTTATCCAACAAACCAATCAAATTTCTTTTGGAGAAATCTACTATGTAAGAAGAATGAAACAAAAAGCTATTGGAAAAGCTCATACATGAAAGGAATTACTACTCATAAGATACATAATTATTTCTTCTTTTTCTATTTAAAACTACTGAAAAACCGTAATGACGCAAAAAATCATAATGGTTTGTTTGTCTGTTTTTGAATTTCGCACAAAGCTCCACGAGGGCTATCTGTGCTAGCCGTCCCTAATTTAGCAGTGTAAGACTAGAGGGAAGGTAGCTAGTCATCCCCACCCACCGCCAACTCTTGGACTACTCTTTTACCAATGAATAGTGGGATTGACCGTCACATTATAACGTCCCTACGGCTGAAAGGACGAGCATGTTTGGTGGGACGGGGATTTGAACCCACGACCCTCAGATTGTGAGTCAAGCGCCCTAACCAGCTGGCCATGCCAGGCCAGAATCATAATGGATTAGTTTATGAGCATGTGATGTTCTTTCTGTAATCATCAAAATACCATTCTATCGCACCCAAAGAAATTTAAAGACACAGTGTGAAAAATGTTTCAGCAGTTGAAAGGAAATTTTAACAAGTATCGTGTTACATGATTTCAAAACACTTAACCTTACCTGAATGTGCACAGGGCCTGAATGTGCACATTGACTATGATTTAGAAGTTATAAAGTGTATCTTCACAAACATGTGGTAAGCTTTTAGTCAACACTTTAAGATTGTTGTACACAAAAAATCATGTGTTAATAACCTTTTTTGTACTTTGTTGAAGTCTGTCTGTCTGGAACTGTAATAATTCAGAGTGCCAGGTGATGTTCACGTGAAAAATAAAAATACTTTGTCAATCATACAGTCTGCAACTTGTAATTACACAACCTCTATAACTATATCCTCTTAAATGTGCAACTAATTTTTTTTGGTATCTCAGTATATAGAATCTGGTATTTTCTCCATTCTAACACAAGTTGTTGAGAAATCATTAATGTAATATAACATGAAATATTGATAACTTTGACATTAAATGCATAATCCCAGGTTGAATTACACCATGTACAAGGTCAGGATACTGTTCATTTGAGGTATTATGGGATATTTTTTGAGATGATCCCTTGAAATTTTAAGTTTTTTGTTTGTATTTTTTTTGGGGGGGGGGGGTGTCCACTACATAGGTATGTGTGGAGTACTGGAGAATGGGGGCCATTGAATAAATTCATAGTTGTTTAGTCACTTCACCCACAGTTGCCCCCATGGCTTTAAAGACCATATAATATTGCCTTGCTGTAAAACTTATAACATATTTTACTTTGTCTTTTACAGAGTTTAAAATTAAAATTTATTTAGGAGGACTGCTACACTAAAGTAGTTTACATTAAGCTTTCCTTGAGTTTCATAAAGTTCTTTCAAATTATCTTGATGCTAATTTTAAAAAAAGCCTTTAAATTTATTTTCATTTTGTTTACAAATGTAAAAATAAGATTTTATCTTTATTTGTTTTTACTTCTGAAGAATCAAGGACAGTATAACTGCTGAATTAGTATGCGGCCGATTTTAAGCTCACAAACTGATTTTTGCTCACCCCTGTACGATTCAGCTTTGTATGTCAAAAGACTGAATTTATTTTCAAAACACAACTTTCTTAAGCATTTGATTTTTGCACTAATCTAATCCTTCTATTACGTTCAGTTTTAAGCCCATCTTCTATTTTGTATAACAACTAACATTAGAGTGTTGCGCTATGTTAAAACCAAATGAAAATCTAGGTAATGAAAGTCGGAGGTGTATTTACAGAGTTATCCAAGTGTTTACACAATATCTGTTTTTTTTTCTTTTATTTTTAACACAATTTTATTATAAACAAAGAGAATATATATACCTCTGAAACCATCAGGATGAGAAGAAAACTGAAGTTCCACCTTACCATCAATTGGGAATCTGAAATCTAATAAAAAAATATATTTACATAAAATCATTTTAAAGAATTAATAAGAAACTAGTCCATCAAATATAATTCAAAATATTTTTACCCGAGAAACAAAATTAAAGTTTTGATTTGAATTATGAAGATGTCAAATGTCACAAGTAGACCAATAGGAAGATCTAAAATTAAGCTAACGTTTGGAAAAAATTTTTATGAATGAGAAAGATTTGGAACAAAAATGTAGAAAAAGTATGAATCAAGTGTTCTTGATTTAACAAAAATTTTCTAAAATATTTAAATTCTGCCCGTGTAGAATCATAAATAAATACAGTTAAATATAACCTTTTTTGGTTTACATTATAAAAAGCATTTTTATTTGAACATGATCTTTACATGTTTTGATATTTCAACATGTGGTTTTTCAGGAGTGTAAATCACAAGAACATTTATGTCTGCTGTGCAATCATGTGACATTGTAATGCTGGTGCTGTCATTTTGGGGTTTAGCTAACAGAATAATTATATCCTACTGGATCATACGTGGTATTATACTGACATCTCCCGCTAATGGTGTCATATTTATTTTATCGTCTTTAACATTTCACTTACGTTTATTTACTTTGTAGTTTAAATTTCTTTCACACTGACTTACGTATATGCTTCTTCATTCACAAATTATTGTGTAAACACCTATTTTTTTTCTTTATTATAATCACTTAGTTCTTAGATTTACTTAATAATTGATTAATTTTATTTATGGGTTTATATATATAGAGAAAAACATTTGTTGTACAGAATATATAACTAGTTTAATGTTCTTCTGGTTTACTCTCCTAAAGATCGCATGTTGAAGAGTCAGTCTCAAATAGAAATGATTTTCATTGTGTAAACCCAAACAGTTGTTGTTCTTAATTGTATTTATTTTAAAATATTTACCTGAAACAGCACCATCAAGCTCATTCTTCAAGAAAATTAGGTGATTCTGATCTAGTGTCCAAGTGTGAAACTGAACCCTAAACACAGTCTCTTTTCCAGCTGACTTTTGTTGCCTGTGGTAACACTTTATGATGACATCACCACATAGTGGTAAACTTGGATTTATTGTGATTACAACTTTTTGTGTTTTTTCAGTGACGGTGCTGCTTAGAAACAATCGTAAGACAGAAATAAATATTAGCATGATACTAATATATATGGATTCTAATTATCTGAAAATCAACATTATAAACTCTTATCTTTTAAGTAATTTCATAATGAGCATTACTAGTAACTTATAGATGCAACGCTCAGTTCTACGGTCTCTCAGAAAAATTAGATACTTATTTGTTTGTTTGAAGTTAAGCACAAAGCTACACAATGGGTATTGAAACCCAGTTTACCATTGTAAGTCCGCAGACGTACCGCTGTGCCACTTGGGGGCAATTAAATACTTAAAACATTACTAAAAACAGCAAAAAAAACTTGAGTTATTACTCTGATATACACACACAAAGAGCTTTGTAAAAAACTTTGTCTTTTATTACTTTTACCTACTACATTCAAGGAAATGTTGCTGTCTTTTAGTGACAGGCCCGGCATGGAATGGTAACGGTTTATCCAGGTGTATACGTTTTTATCTTATTACACAACCAAGGTGTCGTTGAGTTGCTTCACAAGCACGTTTTAGCAACGAGATGATAGTGATAGATAGTATTGATAAACTTTCGTGAATACCAGTATACGTTTTGATTTCCTTTATATCAGAAGTATACTTATTCAGCTTTCCAGATTGTTGTTTTTACTGCATTTAAATTTATTGTTACTAATAATAACCTAACTCATATTTTTCATTCAGATACGTGTTAGAACTTCTGATTACCAAAAACAGATTAAATCAGCCTTTACCTAGCGTATTTAGGTACTTATTAATGATTCTTGATACTCAAAACAGCCGAAACAAATTACTTGTAAGTAAGTCCATTAGTATTCAAATTAGCATTTTCTGACAATAACAATAAACTAATCTAGCCGTTTTCAATGTACTTGGATACATATTAGTATTTTCTGAAGATAACAATAACATAATTCAGCCGCTTTTAGCAGTAACACGCAGAATAAATTAAAAGGGCAGGGGCTCATTGACAAAAAGAGGGCACTTTTCAACCATCGCGAAGCAATACTATTTTTGGAGTGGGGAGGTGTTAGGTGTTAGAGAAGACTATGGAATATAGGGTAATCAGGCGTATCTTTTAGTAGTTTTGGAGATATTTTATGACCGAGAGAAATAGCATTTTGGGGGGCTTAAGAGCAGAAGGGCAGGGGCTTGAAACCATCCAGCTACCCCTCTCTCCCTGTGCACATCACTGGTCTTTGGTTTACTTCGATGCATATCAGCATTTTATAACAATAACAGCAGACTGATCTAGTGTTTCTTTGGTGTACTTGATCACGTAGTACTTAGTTATTTTGACACCAATAATGGGCTAATCCAGTTTTTCTGTGGTGTACTTCGATATGTAGTACTTACATATTTTGACACCAATAATGGACTGATCCAGTTTTCCTTTGGTGTACTTGGTCACGTAGAACTTACATATTTTGACACCAACAATGGGCTACATCAGTTTTTCTTTGGTGTAGTTGGTCACGTAGTACTTACTTATTTTGACACCCACAATGGGCTAATCCAGTTTTTCTTTAGTGTACTTGGTCATGTAGTACTTACATATTTTGACACCAACAATTGACTCATCCAGTTTTTCTTTAGGTGTACTTGGTCACGTGGTACTTACATATTTTGACACCAATAATGGACTGATCCAGTTTTCCTTTGGTGTACTTGGTCACGTAGTACTTACATATTTTGACACCAATAATGGACTGATCCAGTTTTTCTTTGGTGTACTTGATCACGTAGTACTTACATATTTTGACACCAATAATGGACTGATCCAGTTTTTCTTTGGTGTACTTGATCATGTAGTACTTACATATTTTGACACCAATAATGGACTGATCCAGTTTTTCTTTGGTGTACTTGATCACGTAGTATTACTTATTTTGACACCAATAATGGACTGATCCAGTTTTTCTTTGGTGTACTTGGTCACGTAGTACTTACTTATTTTGACACCAACAATGGGCTACGCCAGTTTTTCTTTGGTGTACTTGATCACGTAGTATTTACTTATTTTGACACCAATAATGGACTGATCCAGTTTTTCTTTAGTGTACTTGGTCACGTGGTACTTACATATTTTGACACCAATAATGGACTGATCCAGTTTTTCTTTGGTGTACTTGGTCACGTAGTACTTACATATTTTGACACCAATAATGGACTGATCCAGTTTTTCTTTAGCGTAATTAGATACGTAGTACTAATATATTTGGACAACAATGAACTAATCCAGTTTTTCTGTGGAATACTTACATACTTGGACACTAACAATGGACTAATCCAAGCATGCTTGGATACTTATTTAATCATGAATCATTAACTACTTCCTAGCTTGACTCGGTTTAATGTATCTGAATGTCTTAAAATTACAGAGTTATAAGTTCTTCTGATAGCTTTGTGATTTTTTATCACTCTGTGTAGCATAGTTCAGTTTAAACTACCAGTTAAACTAGGTAACGAAAAGACTTATGGGCGTGGTAGTGTACCTAATTTTGAGTGTATAAATAATCGTAAAACAGTAAATTTTACACAAAATTTCATGCACAAAAAAAAATAGAATATCTGAAACGGTAGTTATCTCGCTAATACACTTTACTCGTTACAAAAGTCCTTCGCATTCGAGTTTATCAACTTCTATCGCTAGATTTTGTTTAAAGATATGGTAATTCTACGTTCTTTAAATTCGAGAAATGGTAGGTTTTATCTGCTTAATTTAAGATCTCTCGGTGAGAAACTGAGATAAAGGCACCGCTCCGCACGAGGCAGATTCTCAGCTAATGGGATCACGGAAAAGGACGTTAATTTCTACTGATTGCAGTCGGTTTCTACTGCGTATTTAATTGGAGTTATCCCATTTTAGAGCTATAGCTATATTCTAAAGAGACGGCTACATTTAACTTCAAAGAACTTTGTTTAATTATATTTATGAAGACAGTAGAAGGAATATACCTTTAAACAATGCACGTAGAAGATGAACGAAGATACTTGTTCCTCTGTTGATTTAGGTTCACTGGATGGAGATGTTCAGCTTGAAATAAGTAAAACATGTTCAATTCCTTAAGATATTAAACGCCAGTTTTGGCTCTTGTTATATTAAAACCTATAAGAAGTGTGTAGAGGCTGTTGATGAAATTTAAACGTCAGTTTTGGCTCTTGTTACATTAAAACCTATAAGAAGTGTGTAGAAGCTGTTGATGAAATTTAAACGTCAGTTTTGGCTCTTGTTACATAAAACCTATAAGTGTGTGGAGGCTGTTGAAGAAATTTAAACGTCAGTTTTGGCTCTTGTTACATAAAACCTATAAGTGTGTGGAGGCTGTTGGTGAAATGTATACGTCAGTTTTTGGCTCTTGTTACATTAAATCTATAAGAAGTGTGTAGAGGCTGTTGATGAAATTTAAACGTCAGTTTTGGCTCTTGTTACATCAAAACCTATAAGTGTGTAGAGGCTGTTGATGAAATTCCGAGTCACAAGACCTGTTACATTATATGGAAGTTGTTACATTAATAACAGAATATTTTCTGCTAATTGAACTGATACCAAATATTTCCTTCCTTTTTTGTTTTTTATCGCTCAATTTTTTTGTAAAAAAAAATATTCAAGTCAACTATAGTACTTTGTCAATTTTATGTGTGTGTGTGTATGTGTGAAAAAAAATTCAAGCCAACTTATTAAGCCAAAAGTATTATTTCTGTATGAGGGTAGTCTGCCAAAAATAGGAATTTCAACTTTGAAAAAGTGTGGGGGACAAGTCCCCCGTAAAATTTCGCCTATCAACCTGAAGAGTATTCGTAATTAAGCACAAAGTTACACAATTGGCTATCTGTGCTCTGCTCACCACGGGCATCGAAACCCGGATTCTAGCGTTGTAAGTCCGCAGACATACCGTTGTGCCACTGGGGGGCAGGGAATTTTCTTTCGACGTTTTAAACACTTTCAACACAGTTAATGTAATTCTTGTGTACATTTTCTCCAGTCTTGTAAAAACGCTGAATGCTCAGGAATATAACATAGTGTCGCATTTGTCTTTCTGCCTCACATACTTGTGCAGGTGTTGTGTATTCTCTACTCTATAATTTTCACTCACATCTTTTATGTTGCTTTAGTATTAAATTTAGAAGTACAAAAAACATTCGTTATTAGCCTACTATTCAAAACATTAGATCTGAAAGTTATTTCAATATTTGAATCAAAGTTATTTGTTTTCTTTTTTTGTAACTAGTTTTCTATAATTTTAATCCAGAATCTTTGTTGTCTTTCTTTATGATGAGTTTCTCAAGCACTTTAATCAAGTTTTTTTGTTGTACTTTTGTGTACTAATTATTTAGTACACCATAATATCTAGTCACAAAAAGGAGAACAAAGAATTTGGATCTAAACTGCTGAATAACTAGTTACAAGTCGGATAGACATTAGACTTTATTTCCTTTCTTTGTTAAGTAAAACAAATGACTATTACAAGCTGTGTCTGCGGACTTACAACGCTAGAATCCGGGTTTCGATACCCGTGATGGGCAGAGCACAGATAGCCCATTGTGACAAAAGCTGAAAGAGTTATCATGGGCAGATTAGATTTGGCAGTTGGCTATAACAAGAAACTTGCCCCCAGTGGCACAGCGGTATGTCTGCGGACTTACAACGCTAGAAACCGGGTTTCGATACCCGTGGTGGGCAGAGCACAGATAGCCCATTGTGTAGCTTTGTGCTTAACTTCAAACAATAAACAAGAAACTTAGATAAACTAGAGAAGGAAGAACTTATACATTTCAAACGTTGATTAAAACTTATTTTACACCTTAAAACATGTAAAAATATAATTCCTAATTTTAACATGTAAAAATATGGTTCCTAACATAATCCGTTTCGCAAACTGATCTTACCTTTTCCTCTCATGATTCAGTCGTTTCACCTGATCTGAGAAAAGTCACAAAAGATTTTAACTATATGAAATGTATCGATCTATCACCTGTGAGATAAATAAAGTTAGGAACTATATTTTTACATGTTAAAGTTAGGAACTATATTTTTACATGATACTTCCTCGATTTCTTTCTGGAAAAACCAATAAAAACTAAAAATCTTCCTATTATGACTTTTCAGTACAGAAATAAGTAAAATTCATTTCTTGAGTAGGTACTCGGCGATAAGTCAGAGAGCTTACAACGATAAAAATCGGGGTTCGATATCCGCGGCGCCCGGAGCACAGATAACCCATTGTGTAGCTTTGTGCTTAATAAGAAACAAACAAACAAGCTGGGAATAACGTGGAGTGCAATATTGGCAGGAAAAACACAAATGCGCGCGAATAGGAGTCAGTCAGCAAAGAACACTTTCAAAACAACCACAAATTCAGCTTTTACACACGTTTTGTCGCAATTCTGGCATACAAACTGTGTACTTAAAGATATACGCGTGTCGTTGCTGCAGGGTAACGTGGAGTGTTTCTGACTCTCCCATTTCAAAAATCAAGTTTATTGTCACGAAGTATTCCTATTAGGAAAATATAAAATTTCATCCTGTCTCCAACTCCCCACAGACAAACACACACACTACAGTAATACGTGTACATTCTAAGTATTTACACGTGAAGCGAAAATATACCAATACTAGATTACTTAATGGAAAACTTCGTTCAGTAATTGTGATTAATACAATCTAACTTAGGCTTAAAACTGATTAGATGTATTAAGTTAAAATCATAAATAATATTCAACGTTAAACTGGTACACAATTAAAAACATTTTATTTAAGCCTATCTATGGCCTTCAAAAAGTTAACGACTCTACGTGTTTCGACGTTACAACGTCATCCTCAGGAGTGAATTACAAGACAATTGCCAAAGTAACGTTGTAACGTCGAAACA